GGCAACCACAAAGCATTAAACCCATTGTGGGGCCATTCTAAGGGAGGGGCCCTATGCACCTGCCTGGGTTGCACACCTGTGCAGCCTGCTCTGCATACTTGCATTCTGTATTTGGAGGACTATGTCACTCACAGGTCCCCTCTGTTCGTTTTGCCCCCTTTTCACCAGCTAGGCTGGTAAGGCCTGGAATGATGGAAGGTGGATGGTGAGCCTATCCAGTCTCACCTCTCACTGCTTCCTCTACTAAGCAGCCAAACAGAACTTTCTTGTTTCCTAAAACTAGTCCTGCTGTTCTGCTGCCTCTGCCTATTGTTTCCTCTGCCCTGTGGTTTTCAAAGTTGTAGTCCCTGGACCAGCAGCAACAGCACCACCTGAAGGCTATCAGAAATGCAAATTCCCCGAGCACTGGCCCCATATACCAGAGGTGGAGGGTTCAAACCCAGCCTTGGCCAAAAACTGCAAAAAAAAAAAAAAAAAGAAAAGAAAAGAGAGTAATGCAAATTCCCAGGCCCCACCCCACACCTGGGAGAGGGTCCAGGAATCTGGTCCTTAAGAGGGATGACTGGGATGCATGCTGAAGTTTGGCCACCACTGCTCTTCTTGAAATATTTTTTCTACCTCATTTCAGCCTCCTATCTCCTACTCCCCCTTCCCTGTAAATGTCACTTCATCAGCGGGGCTCAGCCCTGGGATAGTTAAAGCCCAAATCTCTTTTTTGAACTCTGCAGTTCCCATGTCTCCTGACAGTCTACTAGTTCTGGGTTTGTCTGTTTTATTCTCCATCTTATCCCGAGTGCTAAGCAGGGCAAGGAGTAGGCACACAGTAAGCGGGGGTGGGATTGCATTGACTCAGGTGTAGCCACGGGAGTACAGATGGGGGGCCTGTAGGCATTCAGGAGAGCTAGGGGGCTGACCACAGACTGTCCCCTCTAGGTACAGCCTGTACACCCGCACCTGGCTCGGGTACCTCTTCTACCGGCAGCAGCTGCGCAGGGCTCGGAATCGCTACCCTAAAGGCCATTCCAAAGCCCAGCCCCGCCTCTTCAATGGTAAGCCCCCCCCACACCCTCATGGCATGCCCCACTCTGTGCCCTCCCCTCACCATGTGCTTCTGATTCTGGGGCTCTCTGCCTATCACCACTCACAGCCATCTCTGCCCCCCAGGAGTGAAGGTGCTTCCCATCCCCGTCCTCTCAGACAACTACAGCTACCTCATCATTGACACCCAGGCCCGTCTTGCTGTGGCTGTGGACCCTTCAGACCCTCGGGCTGTGCAGGTGAGGGGAGCAGGAGGAGTGGAGGATGCCTGGGGTCCCCCTTGAGGACTGGCAGCTTTCCCTTGCTAGAGAGAGGCTGGGCCTGGTCCCTCTGCCTGTGGGACGTGCCCCATCCATGTTCACACTTGCACATACACGGCCTGGGGGAGGGTAGCATCCAGGGCACAGTTGACAAAGGGGGAGGGCCAGCATGGGGGATGTGGAGCCAGAGGGCTGGGGAGCTGGTCCAGGACTTGGGGCCTAGGGAGTCTCTGGCTGCCTCTCACTCCTTTAGGCCTCTTTTTGAGCCTGTTGGTAGTTGGATCACTCCTCTTTCCCTTCTATTCCTTACTGCTTTCTGTGTCCATGCCCTCCACAAGTCTCTCTCTGCCCTCCCTCTCCTGCTTCCCCCCCTTCCAAATGCCCTATGTTGGGTCTCAGCTGCCACCCCCAGTCCCTTCCCACCTCACTCCTCTCTAGCACCCCCACTTCTCCCTTCTTCTCTCCCTGTTGTCCTGCCCTCTCCACCAGCACACCTCCTGGGGCTCCTGCTTCACACTCCCCCCTGCATCCTGCTCCCAGGCTTAGAACTTCCTCTCTTCCCCAGGCTTCCATTGAAAAGGAAGGTGTCACCTTGGTTGCCATTCTCTGTACCCACAAGCACTGGTAAGGGGCTGGGGGTGGGGCTGGGTGCAGACATTCATCGCTGGTCCACCCATGCCCCAGCTGGGCATGTCAGGCTGGGTGTCTGGAATTCTGGAAGGCTGGGTACCCACCTTCCTCATGATGTACCTGGGCACCAGCAGAGGCAGGGCTTATGGGAAGGGGTGGTGAGCTCCTCTCACAGCTCTGCTTCTCAGGCTTCTGAAGCCCTGGGGTGGGGGTGGGGGGGAGGCAGGCAGTCACTTGCTTCCACTTAATGGGCATGTATTATTGCCTATTGTGCTTTGGGTATGGGCAAAACTTAATAGAATCTTTTCTATAGAAGAAATGATAGGTCTAGCAGGGAGACAGCTCTATATAGAAGTCTATAAAAATTAAAAAACTTAAGTGGCAGTTGGCACAGGTACAGGGGCTGCGGGGACACAAGGTAGGTGTAGTCAGATCCACTTGGGTAAATTGGAGGATGATGACCCTGAGCTGAGAAGGTCCAGAAAGATCATTTGGCATTTGCTAGATTGAGGTTGTTGTGGGTAGTGACATTCTGGACCGGGGAACAGCTTGAAAAGCCTAGAGGCCGTAGACAACTCTGCCTAGTCTAGAGGCCACAGCCCAGGGCGTACAGGCTGGAGATGCTATGGGGAAGAGGGAGGCTCAGGTACAGTTGCCCCTTGAAGCCCCATACCTGTCTGCCATCCTGCAGGGACCACAGTGGAGGAAACCGCGACCTCAGCCGGCGGCACCGGGACTGTCGGGTGTATGGGAGCCCTCAAGACGGTATCCCCTACCTCACTCAGTAAGTCCTTGGCCCTGGCACAGGGGGCTTCTGGCCCTTGCCCTCACCCCCCACCTTCAGTGACATATTGCAGAGGTGTCAGCAAGTGTATCTTTGCTGTCACCCTTCCTGGCCCATAGAGAGCTGATCCCAACCCATCTAGAGACTGGCACTGCCCTACCCCCAACTGATATACCATCTCCAAAAGAGGAGGGGATCCTGGATCTGAGACCCTTCTCTCTAGTATGACAGCAGATCACCAGCCCCATGGGCCTAGCTTGGAGGCAGACATCGGCATGGCACAAGCTCTAGTACCTTCTCTCCCCTACCACCTTGTCCCCAGTCCCCTGTGTCATCAAGATGTGGTCAGCGTGGGACGGCTTCAGATCCGGGCTCTGGCCACCCCTGGCCACACGCAAGGTCATCTGGTCTACCTATTGGATGGGGAGCCTTACAAGGGTCCCTCCTGTCTCTTCTCAGGGGACCTGCTCTTCCTCTCTGGCTGTGGTGAGTTCCCCCAAAAGAGGAAAGAGTGGGGAGAGGAGAGAGAGTGGCAGAGGCCAAGACAGTCACAGTCCCATGAAATGCCCTAGAGCTCTTGTTTCTGCACAGACATGGCCTTGGCAGTTACTCTGTGTTACCATAATTTTTTTCTATCCCTAAGACTTCCCCTGGGATGGGTAGGGTGAGAAGAACCCTGTATGGGTGGTGCCTGTGGCTCAGTGGGTAGGGCGCTGGCCCCATTTACCAAGGGTGGCGGTTCGAACCCAGGCTCGGCCAAACTACAACAAGAAAATAGCCGGGCATTGTGGCGGGCATCTGTAGTCCTAGCTGAGCTTGTACTGAGACTGAGGGGATGGAGCGCCTAAGCCCAAGAGCTGGAGGTTGCTGTGAGCTGTGATGCCATGGCACTCTACCAAGGGTGACAAAGTGAGACTCTGTCTCTAAAAAAATAAAAAAGAAGAACCCTGTGGCTGAATAAAGACCTTGTGGGGCACTTCTTTACATGGGGTAGAGCTTGGTTCTCTGACAGTGACTGGCAGGACACAGTTATGAAAAGTTGGGAACCCCTACATGAGTAGGCGATCCCATGGTTGGGTGAGGATCATAGTCCCAGGCTGCTTGGAGTCCCAAAGGGCAGCGCAGGCAAAGAAGTGCCCTTGGGAAAGGGCAGCCCTGCATCTGCAGGGCAGGGGGCTGTGAGAGCTTGGTCTGAAGGTTCTGCAGCCTCTCTCCATTCAGATGTCACTGTGTGCCATGGAGGCTTTGGATGAGCTTGATCTGGGGGTGGGGGGTGTGACTGGTTAGGCCTAGTTCCCATTAGAAGGAGAGCTATGGTTGAGGGGTATGCACAAGCTATCACCCACCCTCCCACGTGCCTTATACCACAGTGTGTTATCCTTGCACCTTGTGATATACCCCCTTGACCTACCCAGGACGAACCTTTGAGGGCACTGCAGAGACCATGCTAAGCTCGCTGGACACTGTGCTGGGGCTGGGGGATGACACCTTGCTGTGGCCTGGTGAGACACCCTCTCCCCACTTCTCTCCACCCTCAGCCCCATGCTTGGCTCAATACCGAGAGGAGGGATCTCCCAACCCCTCGCTTCCCTACAGACCAGGCCAACCTAATTCCCGGCTCCAAAATGACACAAGTCTACTTCTGATGGCTCTCAGGAGCCACCTCTGGGGATGAGGGGCAGAGTTCTAGCCTCCCTTATCTCTGGAGGAGCTGCCTCTGCTTCTCAGGCCCCTGTCCCCTGCCAGCTAGCCTTTGGCCTTTTGAGAACCCTGCAAGCACCAGAGCACATCTCAGAGACATATCCAGTTGTTCAGAGCCAGAGCCTGGAACAGAAAATAGTCTTCACTTATCAGAGAAGTCAGTAAATCCACTCTGCATGTAACCATTGCCTTGTAGTTTATAAAAACATTCACAAGTATCTCAGCTAAGCCTCGGAAAATTCATTCATTCATTCACTGGACAAATACATCATACACACCTAACCAGGTCTCTTTTAGGTATCAAGAACACAGCAGTGACATCTGTGTCCATTAGCATTATTGTTTTCTCCATTTGCCAAATGAGAAGATTGTGGCTCAGAGAAGCATGGTGACCTGACTGAGGTCATGCACTGGGCAGTGGCAGAGTCAGGGCAGGAACACAGCCCTCCTAGTCCCCAGTCCAGTGGCTTTTCCCCTGAATCATCACTACCTCTTCCCTGTGGCTGACTTGTGCCCACAGTTAGAGAAGCAGCTGGGGTGGTTGGGGGTTTCCTGGAAGTGCTACCCTCCTCCTTGCTTGTTGATACTCAGGGGTCTGGCCAGGGGCTGGGAGGACTTGTTCTGACCACACCACCAATCTCTCTCTGCTCTGCGTCTCGGCCCCACACCCCCACCCGGTCAGGTCATGAGTATGCAGAGGAGAACTTGGGGTTTGCAGGCGTGGTGGAGCCCGAGAACCTGGCCCGGGAGAGGAAGATGCAGTGGGTACAGCGGCAGCGGATGGAGCGCAAAAGCACGGTGCGGGACTTGGGGCTCTGGAGGGCCACATGGCCTCTCGGTCACAGTGGGAGCCCATCTCAGCTGAGCCTAGGCCTGTGGGCCTCCCTGGAGCTCTGACTAGGACCCAGCCTTCAAGTCAGAACCCCTGAACCCAGGACAGGGAGGATGTGGGGGTAAACTTCCATGTCTTGGGCTCATTTCTCACCTTCTTTCCACCAAACCCAGTGCCTCTCTCCCCACAGTGTCCATCCACTCTGGGAGAGGAACGTTCCTACAACCCATTCCTGAGGACCCACTGCCTGGCACTGCAGGAGGCTCTGGGGCCAGGCCCAGATCCCACTGGGGATGATGGCTGCTCCCGGGCCCTGCTCCTGGAAGAGCTCCGCCGACTGAAGGACATGCACAAGAGCAAGTGATGCCCCCAGCCCAGCCCCACCCTATGGTGGGGAGGCCACCCATCGCCTGCACCTCACCGTCCTTCTCATTGCTAACACTACCACTTCCATCGGCGCCCACAGTGGGCATCATTCCTCCGCTGGTCACGGGGAGGGGAGGGACAAGGTGATGAGACCTCGAGTCTGAGAGGAAAGTGCTGGTCGGAGGCTCAGAGACCCCACAGAGTGAGGCAGAGCCATCAAGGGCAAGAGGACAGGAGGGGCCTCAGGACATGTCCAGAGCCCACTGACTGGGAGGGTCCAGCTGGACACAAGGCTGCTATCAGCAGTTCCCTTGGATGCCTCAACTTCCTGGAGCCCCAGAACCCCCCAGGGCAGCAGGAGCTATGCCCAGGCTGAGTCTGCTCTCCTCTTTCCTCATCCAGGGTTGGGAAAGAAACTCAGCCCCTCAGAGTGGCCTAAGGTATGGTGCCTTGGAAAAGTGGGCATTCAAAGGGGTGACTGGACTGGTTTCCTGATATTCTGTTCCTCCTTCCCATGCCTCTTAGCCCCACCCCACCCCTGCAAGGGCATTTTTCACACAGAGCCATTCCTAAGAACACTGAAAGGGCTGCAAGTCTGGCAGTCTGGCCAATCTCTGCCTCAGTGGCCCCCCCTACAGCCTGGAAGAGGGAGGGTCCTGGTTCCCAAGAAAATCTCCATTCCAGGCTGAGGAGACACCGGAGCTAGGTCTGGAGTCCAGCAGTCTTGCAGGTTACATGCTCTCTGTGTACATCTGACCTGGTCCTGCCCATAGGCTTCTGCCCCTGCCCTCAGTCAAAAAGGCCCCTCCTTCCCGGGAGAGAGAGAGAGCCATGGTCTGAGACCATCTGCCACGGCCACTGCAGTTTTCTCATTTTGACCCTTGTTCTTCAGCCCTTCTGCCTGCCTTCTTCTATATACCTTAATTTCTTCTGCTTATCTTAACCTCTTTCTTCTCTGAGTTAGTTACAAGATTTATTTTGTAACCCTGATACTCATCTGGCTCTGTGCAGTTTGCTGAGAGCATTCCCATGTGATTTTGCTTCTGTCCTCAGCCCCATCCTGGCTAGGAGGAGGCTCTGCACAGCAAAGCACAGAAATCAGCAGTGTGCCAGCAGGGAGCTCAAGCATGTGGCTGCTCTGGGACTCCTCTGCTCACCTTCCCCCCAGCTCTGTTCTCCTTTGGTCTTGGGTCCAGGTCTCTTTGGGCCACAATGAGGAACCCTGTGGTTCTTAAGCAGGAGTACCATGGCTCAGCCAGGAGCCATCTCTTCCTGTGTTGAAGCAAGCATTCCTTTGGGCTCTGCTTGCCTCTTGTGACCCTCCAAGATGCCCCCTACATTTGGTTTCCCCTCCTCAGGAAGCCTCTGTCACCCTTTCCAGCCATAGCCTCTGGTACACTCTAGCAATACCACCAGACTAGTAGAGTTCCCCAGCCTCAAGACATGCAGTTTCATGCCTCTGTGCCTTCACTCATGCTGTTTCTCCAGACTGGAATGCCTTCCCCTGATCCTCCTGCCTTGTCTGCCTGGCAAACACCTGTTCATTTCTCATGATCCCCTCAAAGGCCCCCTCTCCAGGAAGGCAACACCCCTGCCCCTCCCTTCAAAGTGCTACCTTTGCACTTTGCAAATGCTTCTCTTATGGCACTAAACACACTGTATTTTACTTGTTTACATGTTTGTCTCCCCTTCTAGACTGTGAATCCTTAAGGGCATGGACTGTATCTTATGCATCTCTGTACTTCTGCGCCTAGCACGGTGCCTGGCACACAGTAGGCGCTCAATAAATGTTGAATGAATGAATGATTTAACCAAGGCTCATTTACTCAATAGCTTATCTTTACTGCTGCACAAATGAAAATATGAGAGAAACTTCTTGCTATTTTCCTGTCTTATTTCCAGGCCTTCTAACTTGGAGTTACTGTCCTTGAAGAGCTTGGGTCGGGAATGATGCCCTAAATGTATTGCTTTCATTGCCCACATGTGCTTGTTCAGTGTTTATGATTTGCTTATTTGAGTGTTTTCCAAAAACTTCAGATGCCCAGGTGTACTGCTGGCCACAGCAGGGTAGTTGTAGATGGTCGCAGGATGTGCCCTTGACATACTATGAAGTCATGAAGGACATGGACTATATCTTATGCTATGAGGTCATAGCATGTCAAGGGCATATCAAGCTTACCTTTAATGCCTCCCTAAAAAGAAAGAGCCAGGCTCCAGGCTCAGTTAGCAACTGTCTCTAGTAAAACTTTAACACAACTTTGTTTTGTTTTCATTGTATTTTTCTTTGGAGTCAGTATTTATTTTTGACAAAAGACACCAGTTTTCAGTTCATAATAGTATTTAAAGATATTTATTGAAATAGGAAAATATAAAGTAAAGGTGACACTTGGCTATGGCAAAACTCCTGAAAGTGGCCCTGGTATGGCTGAAGACTAGGAAGAACTGGCTCATCTTCATAATTCCTTGGGGCCAGTCCAAGGCACAATTTTCCCTCCCCTGGCCATAGTTCAGCCTCTTCTCTTACGGTCCCCTTACCCCAGGCCAGGGACCTTTGACACTATCTTTGATAATGGCTGCATGTGGGCTGGGGATGGGAGAATGGGCCATCATCTTCACTGTCCCGAAAGCTTATTTCCGTGTGCTCTGTTAAGGAGTTAAGGTCACTGCTATATTGAGCAGAGGAGCCCCAGGCCCTGTACTATGCAGTTCACTTGGGGTATGACTAGCTTGGTGACAGCTCTCTGGAGCATTTTCCCAGGGCCTTGTGTGATCCTCCCACTGGGCCATCTGTCCAAAAATAATGAGTACATGACTGTCTTGGAGAATTTTGCTTATTGGACAGTAGATGTACTGGCCTTAGAGACCTTGATTCCAGTTCAGCTCTGTCATACACCATAACCACTGTACTGTAGGTGCCACTAAGTTAGAATACTTTTAGATACAAATACCAAATACTCAACATAAAATAGCTTAAACTAAAAGTAGTTTATCATCTCCTGAAATTAAGAAGTGTAGGACTAGGCTCGGCGCCCATAACTCAGTGGTTAAGGCGCCAGTCACATACACTGAAGCAGGCGTGTTTGAACTTAGCCGGGGCCTGCCAAACAACAATGATGACATCTGCAACAAAAAATAGGTGGGAGCTGTGGTGGGCACCTGTAGTCCCAGTTACTTGAGAGGCTGAGGAAAGAGAATCGCTTAAGACCAAGAGTTGCAGGTGGCTGTGAGCTGTGATGCCATGACACTCTACCAAGGATGACATAGTGAGACTCTGTCTCAAAGAAAAAAAAAGAAGTATAGGACTATATTATAGTGACTTCAGATATGACTGAATCTAGGAATTCAAAAGGAATGAATCTCCACTTAACTCTGCTTTCTTCTGTATGAGTATTATTCTCTGCCAGGTTTTCTCCGTGCAGTGTAAAGACAGTCTTTAGAAGTTACAGCCAGCTTGGTGCCTGTGGCTCAAGTGGCTAAGGAGCCAGCCACATACACCTTGGCGGGTTCAAATCCTGCCAAGGCCCACCAAACAACAATGATGGCTGCAACTCAAAAATAGCCGGGCATTGTGGCAGGCACCTGTGGTCCCAGCTACTTGGGAGGGTGAGGCAGGACACTCACTTGAGCCCAGGAGTTGGAGGTTGCTGTGAGCTGTTATGCCACAGCACTCTACCCAGGGGGACAGCCTGAGGCTCTGTCTCAAAAAAAAAAAAAAAAAAAGAAGTTACAGCCTTACAGGCAGTATACTAGCTCATCAAACCTATTGGAATCTGCAGTAGTTCCAAGGCTTGAGTTTCATTGGTCCAGCTTTGGTCACGTACCAAGTCCCGAACCAATCATAGAGTAGGCTTCTGCAATGGTCGGGCAGTGTTAAACCCAGCTGAACTACCTTGCTCTGAAAGTAAGGAGGGGGACTCCCAAAAGAATAGGTTGCCGGATACCAGAAACAAATGAAACCTTCCCTAATAATTCCACTTATTGGAGGCTATAACGAGGGTCAGATGAGAAAAAGGATAGAAAGTCATACTGAAAAACACCACATCCGATTTCTGGTGCTGTGATTAGTTATAAAGAGGAAATGGAGGTGGACAAATGGTCTCAAAGGTTGTCTCTCTTTGGGGGGAGAAAAGAAGGAAGCAAGGCCTAAGTGGATAGCCTTCTGCAGCGGAGGGAAGAACAGACCAAGGGGAAGTTTTAGAAGTGAATATTAAAGCCCTGAGAGTGCACCTGTGTTTGTTGAGGGTGGCCTTAGGCCCCTAGATGGAGCCTTTGAAAGTAGGTGGGAATTTCACACTGATGGTATGTAAACACACTAGGCTCAGGCCAAATGCTGGACAAGGCAGTGGAAATATAAAGCACTTGAAGTTGGACTGATTGGAATACAAATTTAGGTTCTACTCTGATTGGCTATGTGTAGTACTGGACAAGTGACTCAGTATCCTCATTCTAAAGAGATTAGGAAAACCAAATGGCACACACAGTGTTCAGTTAACAGCAGCCTCTTTTTCCTATTACTATTATTAATGAACATAGGCCAATTCCATCAGGAGCATTAGAACAAAGTGGTTAAGAACAAAAACTTTGGGCTGGGTGTGGTGGCTCTGATGCCTGCGATCCCAGCACTTTAGGAGGCCAAACCAGGAGACTTGCTTAAGAATAGCAGTTTGAGGCTCGACGCCTGTGGCTCAAGTGGCTAAGGCGCCAGCCACATACACCTAAGGTGGCAGGTTTTTTTTTTTTT